AGGGGCAAGAAAAAAAAAAGCTATTGTAATCCAGCATAGCCAATTTTTTTTTTTTTTTTTAATACCTGGGATCAAACTCAGTATTTTGTGCTTGCTGGGCAGGCATGGCGCAACTGAGCTACATCCCCAGCCCTGGCCAATATATCATAAAGTGTACCTTGATTTAGTATACTTCTCTTACATGTTTTATATGTTTTCCCTGTGTGGCTGTCAATCTGTGCTTGTAATAATTTGATAAACACAAAATAAATAAATGAATCTGATGCTGGCCAAAAAAAAAAAGTGGGTGGAGAGGAAAGGGAAAAAAAGAATTGAGATGTGTTATGTACATGTACTAATTCCCCACACTGAATGTTAATTATGTACTGCAAACATATACTAATAAAATATTTTAAAAAATAAAATAAGGGCTATGATTTAGCTCAGTGTGAAGGCCTTGGGTTCTTTCCCAAGTACTGCTAAAAAAATTTTTTTGCTATATTGTTTCATAATTTTCTTTATGCATATTTAATAAAATAATATAAAGATATATTTCCCTCCTTCCTAAGAGGCTAATGCTATGAATTTAGTATATGTTTTCCTAATCTGTGTTTTATAAAGCTTTTACAGATATCTTATATATCTATAAATAATACATAATATTGTTTGATACAATCTCAAAGTAATACATAAATATTTTCATTTTACAGAGATTGTTTTGTGGCTTTTATGACCACATTTTTTGAGATCTAGCTATATTTGGCATGTATCAATGTGGTTTACTCATTTAATCTGCTAAATAGTGTACCTTATGCCACTGTGCCACAGCTTATTTACTTATTCCTGTATTGAAGGCTTCATGGTGCAGTGAATTATGCTTTCATTTGTATCTTGTCTCCAGGATGCATACCTAGAATGGTGTTTCTAAGTCTCAGGTCAGAGTATGTGCACTTAGCACCTTTTTAGATGCTTATTATATCCTTCTCATTTAATTAAAGAAATAGCAAAATTGTAAACCTGTGTATCGTGGCATGGTCTTGCGGAGAGATCTTTAGTTTTGAGCTGATAGGTGCTCTCTATCCTTGGCATTCCTAAATGTCCTGTTCTGCCCTCTCTCCTAGCGGCAGTACATACCCGTGAAAATGAAGAGCAGAGCCTTCTGGATCTTCTCTTGGGAATATGCCATGATGTATATGGGGAGCCTTGTGGTAATCATTTGCCTCTCCTTCTTCCTTCTCAGTTCCTGGGATTTCATCCCTGCAGTCTATGGCTTCATGTAAGTAAAGACCTCATTAGAAAACTCTGAGCTGGGGATGTAGCTCGGTGGCACAGTGCCTGCCTGGCAAACACAATATCCTGAGTTCTATCCCTGGTACACCCCCCCCCCCGCCAAAAAAAGAAAAAACTCTGAAGATAATGTGATTTTCATAACACCTGCTGTAATCAGAGGGAAAGGGCCAGAAGCAGCATCTGTAGCAGGGAGATTCAATTCCAAACAAGATTCCTTTGTTGCAAAAGAGGGAGGGGTCCCCTGATAATTGAAATATAAAGGTACCTGCTGTGTGTCAGACCTTTAGAAAAAACCTAGGTAGGTTTACAGTAGTGCAGGTTTGCCCAAGTGACTGTTCATGAATTCAGTGGAAATTTCTAAATACTCTCCATGTGCCAGAATCTGTGGGCTGCTGAGGGATTAATTGTTGCCCAAGCCTTGAGGAGTTCATAGCTGGGCGGGTGACAGACACTTAAACCTGTCAGGGTAGGGAACAGATCTGGAACTTCCATTTGGGACTCTGGGCTGCTTCTTTGAGTTAAATCCATCCCATGCATGATAATAGCTCAGTCACTTTCAGTTCTTCATACTCTGGTTTGGATGGGAGTTTTTGATGCCTGGTGAAGAACTCTGTTTTTTTAAAATAAAAAATATAACAGGGCTGGGGATGTAGGTCAGGGATAGAGTGTTTGCCTGGCATGCTGGTGACCCTAGGTTCAAGTTCTGGCACCACAAAAATATTTTTTTTTTTGGTACTGGAGATCGAACTCAGGACCTTGCACTTGGTGCCACTGGGCTAAATCCCTGGCCCTAAAATATTTTTTAAATATTTTTTTTCTATTTTTGAGACAGAGTCTCACTATGCATTTCAGGTTGGCCTTGAACTCAGGGTGATCCTCCTGCCTCAGACCCCTGAGTGCTGGGATTACAAGTGTGCACCACCATACCCAGCCTAAAAAATTTTTTTTAATAAAAATAATACACACATATATATATTATGTACACTTTTAGAGGAGCCAGAATTGCAGCCATTTGTCTGATTATATGATATAACCAGACAAAAAGTTTTCCAGTTAAACCCTAATATCTCATTGCACTCTGAGGCTCTGGGGATCCTAGAAGAACCTCCTAGTGGTTCTTGAGGCCCCCAGAAGTTTCAGGCACACAGTCTTCTGGCTCCTGCAGTGGGGGTGTGGAGCAAGCATGGGGGAGGAGTAGGATCTCTGAGCTGGTTCCTCTGGGCAGGTCTTTGAAATGCCAAAAATAAATCTTGTTTATTTAAATCCTTTCCTGCTTTATTACAGTGCTACAGTGCTCAGTAGCTCCTGACTTATAAACTGTCCCAGACCATAAAAGACAGGCTAATCTCTTGATTTCAAGGATGAATCCCTCCCTTATTTCAGATTTCTTTTTGGCTTAGTCTATATTTATTACAGCTTATCATTCTCTCTTGTTTTTGTCTTCCTTGTTTTTGCCATTCACCTATGTCCAAGGTACCCGGAGAGCCCTTCTCATCCAGATCTCTGTAGGGAGGAAGTCATCCCTGGCTGCCCAGCAATGACCCCGTCTTCAAGAGAAAATAAAGGCAAAGCATACCATTTGTAACTCTGCCCTTTGTTCTCTCCCTGTGTTTTCTTAATTCCAGACTTTCTGTTCCAGATCTGACTCCAAACATTGGTCTTTTCTGGTACTTCTTTGCAGAGATGTTTGAGCACTTCAGCCTCTTCTTTGTCTGCGTGTTTCAGATCAACGTGTTCTTCTACACCATCCCCTTAGCCATTAAGCTAAAGTAAGTTGCTTGGTCCCTTAGTCCCCCCGTATCCTTATGAGTGCTCTTGTAATGGGCTGCACTTGCCATCAGGTTTATGGCGTCTTTGCCCAAGGAACCCTGTCCTTGGCTGGCCTCAGATGGCAGTGGCCAGAGCTAGCAGCTAAGAGGCACACACCAGCTTTGGAGCCCTGGATCTCCCCTGGCCTTACCTTGAGGTGCCTAGGCACAGATTGCTGCCAAGCCCGCTCATGATTTTGGGCAAGATCAGGAATTGCATGGAGGATGCATGCATTTTTTTTTTTTTTTTAAGTGGATCTGATTGAATGTCCTCCGTCAGCAGCCCCTGACTGTCTGCAGGGACTCAAGATGAATTTGTTGGGAGGGTGGCCACCTGCAGCTCTGCCTAATAATGTTCTGATCAATTTCTCTCAAAAGGGATTATCTATTCTCTTCTCAGTAGGAAAGGCCTAACATGTATTGAGCCTTCTCTATCCCAGGCACCTTTTTAGGCTCTCTGAAACATAATCATACCAGCAACTTGTGGAGACTGGCATTATCTTATTTTCATCACTCCCATTATAAAATAATTGCAAAGTTGAGAAAATTGATGCTCAGAGAGGTGGAATAATTTTTCCAGAGTCATGCAGCTTGTAAGCATAGAACTGGAATTCAGACACGGGTTTTTCTGACTTCAGAATCTCTGCTTGGTCATCTCTTTGTGCCAGGCCAAGCTCGCAAGGAAGAGAACTTACAGTAGCCCTGGATGTGGTTCATTATCCTGGCTTCAGAAAAGCTAGACCTCTGGAGCAGATCTTCCTGAGCAAGCATCCAGATTGTATGAGGATATTGGTCACGTGCACGTGTTTAGTGTCACTAAGAAGGCTATAGATTTGGCCTCTTCCTCCTCATTCTCCTGTCACACTCAATACACTCTTGGAGGAGCACTGAAGGTTGAACTTTATTCTCCCTCTCCCCCCTTGACCAGGGCTATGAGTCAAGTGAGGTACTCACAAGAGCAGTATGGTGGTATTTGGGAACTCTGGAGACGGATAACTCCACGGCTTATAGACTTAACTCATTTTGCTTCCCTGAACCTCAAGTTTCTCATCTGTGAAGGATGAGAGACAGAATTGCCTGCCTTAAAGGGTAGTTGAGGTTTGTGAGGATCACTTGAGGTGATGCAGAAGAGGTTTTTCCCTGAATTTAGCACAGAGTGAGAGTTCAGGACATGGTAGCTATTGCCATCATTTATTATTAGTTTAGAATCATAATTTAAACTCTTACTAGTGTAATAAGAATTCTAGTTCCAACCCTTCCAAGCTGAAATAACTGCCTGTAACTCAGTTTTCTTTCTGAACATAAGGGCCTGCAGACTTCACTACCATATTGTCAGTAAGCAAAGCACCAGCCAGGAGCCACTTCCTGCCCTGGGACCTGTTGTCATAGGGGCCTCTAGCAAGGGATGCTGTTTGATGGCTCTACAAGCAGTTATTTAAGCCTGGTAATAAGGGGCTGACTTCATTTGTTTTCTTCCTCCATGGCTCCTGAGGGGAGGGAAATGGGAAATGTTTTCTGGTTGGTTTGCTAGTGTTTGCCCGGCCCTTTTTACCACTTCTGGGCATCTCTAGGTCTCTGCAGTTTTCTGCTCTGCCTCTGGGACCTAGCCAGTCCCTGTCTTGTGGGTAGCAAGCCAGCCCCTGCCTGAAGTCTGCTAGGGAGTATTTTTGGTTTGAGGGTTGGGGTCAGAAGTCTCTGGGGTGGGCCTGGTTCCTGGCTGATCTTTGTGTCCCTTTCTCTGCCCTAGGGAGCACCCCATCTTCTTCATGTTCATCCAGATTGCCATCATCTCCATCTTCAAGTCCTATCCGACAGTAGGGGATGTGGCCCTTTACATGGCCTTCTTCCCTGTGTGGAATCATCTCTACAGATGTGAGTATTCTGATTCCCTCCATTGGTGGCAGGTTTGTGTCATTCTGGCCCCTGGATGAAACAGCCAGGGAGGAAGGAATTGATAGGCATTTACTAGGCATCTGCTCTGCAGGCAGCGCTAGGAGAGAGGTACAATATCTACCCTCTGGTGCTCTGACTAGTGCTGATAATAAACTTAAATGCCATTTATTGACCACTTACTGTGCCTCTAAGAGTATTACATCCATTAGCTCATTTTATCTTCACACTAGCCTTTGAGGTGAGAATCCCCTTTGTGCAGAAGAGAAAACTGAGGTACAGAAAAGTAGAGTCTCTTAACTCAAGATTGTGTGACTAGGTTGGGCATGCCTGTAATCCCAGCACTTGGGAGGCTGAGGCAGGAAGATTGCCATGAGTTCGAGGCTAGCCTGGACTACATAGTGAATTTAAGGTCAGCCTGAGCTACATAGCAAGAACCTGTCTCAAAAAAAAAAAGAAGATCATGTGACTGCCAAGAAGAATGGCTAGTTTTAGAAACCACCAGATCTGTAGGGCTGGGGATTTAGCTCAGTGGTTCTGCTGCCTGCCTCGCAAGCGCAAGAACCCAGGTTCAATCCCCGGTACCAAAAAAAAAAAGAAACCAGATCTGTGAGCCTCTGCCCAGCTCTGTCCAGCAGGGCTTTCTGTGACAATGGAAATGTCCAATATCTGCATAGTCTAACAGAATAGTCACTAATGCAGCCAAGAAACTGAATTTTTTTAAATAGCAAAACATTTATTGCTACATTTTAGACATACATAATGATAACACTCATCAGAGGGAATTTGTACCTGTACAAGATACCTATCACCTCTTTTTTTTCCCCATTCCTCCCTCCCCTCAAGCCCCCCATGTACAAAAACTTTGTTTCCATTTTTTCCTTCTATTTTCACTTTTGTTTTTAAGAAACTGAATTTTTAATTTAAATTAATTTAAATTCAAATTTACGAAGCCACATGTGGGAAGGCTACCACATTGGACAGTGCAAGTCCAGCCCTGGGCTCTGAACCATCCCCTAGTGTTGTACCCAGAGTTCCTAGAACACTGATGAATGACACCAGACTTCCTGCCTCCCATGGGGACCCTCTCAGCTCTGCTCATCCTCCCCTCAGAAGATGGCTCAGTGGTGTTCCTTACGCCCCTCAGTACTTCCCTCAGTTGATCTCTTAGCCCTCTCTGGTTGTTCTTTTCAGTGTCTGGGGTTCCTATAGGGCAGATATCATGACCCCTTTGTTTCTTTGTCACCAATGCCCAGGATAGAACCTAACAAGTAATGGCAAATGTCTATGGCAGGGGCTTTTTAAAGCTCACTAAGAAGGAGACAGTGTCAGTGACCCATCTGATTCTCTTCTGCTGTGGCTGCAAATCAGAATGTTAGGAATGAACTAGGGGAGTGCAGGCTTCAGAAGAAGTGAGTCTTTGTTGTTTTGGGAGGTTGTCTGGTGTCAACCCGGAAGTGAAACTGACCGGCTGCCAGTAGGAAACCTACCCATTAGTGTAGGCGCCAGTGAAGGTAAACAGCCAAGGGGGTGAGCCAGTGACAGGCTGCTCCTGCAGGTGAGGCTGGTGGAGTGGTGATCAGGCAGGGCTAACTGGGAGGAGGAAGCAGTATCTTCTGCCTGTGACATCCTCATTGCACAGACAAGAATCACCCAGTCCAGTGGGCTTAGTCAGTTTGGGGCCCCTCCGCCGACTGGCTACTGACAAATCATGAGGTCACTACAACATAACATGCCCTCGTCTGTGACAGTGTCTTCAGGACATTGCTCTTCTCATAAAAGTGGGTTGTTTTTCCTTAGTTGTCTTTCCCACAGGCCACTCCCTTTCAGCATTGTTGATTCCACATTGCTGAACCCAGTCCTCAGACAGACAAATTGACTGGAGTCTGCCTTCTGGCTTTCGCATCACTAGCTGTGTTTAATTTTTGAGGGAGGGTGGATATTGAGGATTAAGCCCAGGGAGTGCTGTGCTAAGCTACATTCCCAGCCTGCTCTTTCTCACGCGCT